TGGTTTACAACCTATCCCAGTTGCCATAGCGCATGACGCAGGTTATACGCTGGACAGGTCACCATTCTGTCACAGGGGTAATTCAGGGAGACAGACAACCATTTACACTCACATTCACTCCTATGGCCAATTAACAATCACAAACTAACCCCACTAAGTGCATGTCTTTGGACTGTGGGAGGAAACTGGAGTACCCACAAAGAAAGATTTCTCAATTGTCAGATTTAACTGCTTGAAACTGACCTTACTGCCAATAATGCCAACCTGAGGAGTGTGGATTCTTGCTCCATGGCTCTTGCAAAACCACGGACCTTCTTACTGGGAAGAAGCACCACTCAGTTTATATGTGGTGCCTCTACTTTAAGAATTTCTAACTGTATAATTCATTGTTTTTTTGAGGAAAATAAATCATATGCAACATGTGTGCAAGGTCCTGGCTGCGATGCCAGCGAGCAACCAGGACCTTGCACACATGTTGCATGGTTGATTAGCATACTTGCCCTGAGGGTAGCACTACAAAAAATTAAATGAAGCATGCAAAGCCAAGGAGCAAGAATAAATGCTCCTCAGGGCAGCATTTCATGGTAACAAATTCAGTCTACTTTTACTTAAAGCAATCAAATCTAACAGGTGGCAAAAAAAGAAAAACACCTGGCTCAGACTAAATCTTTTAGAGATTAGGAGTGTTTAAACACACAAGGCTGTACAAAACCGTATTGGTAAGGAAATTAGTCTTAAAAGAAATAGCATTACCAAATAGAGGCAGGAGTCTGGCCGAGTAAGAAACCAAGCCATGGCAGGTCTGGATCCTGGGCCTCTCGGAGGATCTTCAGACTATCTGGCTTCGGAGTGGTATGGTTATAGCAGGACTCAGAATACGTCAGATTGGGTGAAGACAGCAAGATGGCACTGATGTTTGGAGTGGCCTCCATGTAACCGTGTCTCACACCTTACAAAGACATGCCAAAACACGGTTAAGCATTGTTTAGTTAAACAATTGACATAAATTCATGAATGCATGAAAGAGAAACAAGGACCTTCGAACCCTCCCACTTTGAAGAGGCTGATGCCTGTCAGACAGAGAGCCCCAGCAATCATGAGGAACGCTTGAACTGTGTCCGTGTAGATAACAGCAACCAGACCCCCGGAGATGGTCAGCAGAGCTGTCATGGCGATGAGGAGGAGGATGGACAGATAGAGGTTCCAACCTAAGGATTCTTTGATGAACAAGGCTCCAGAATAGAGATCCACAGACAGTTTGGTGAAGATGTAAAGGACAAGAGATAAAGCAGCAAAGTACACCTTCAGTCGATTCCCCCCATATCTCTTGGACAGGTACTCTGGCATAGTGTAGACGCCACACTGGATATAGACTGGAATGAACACCCAGCCTAAAAACTGGAGCAGTAATACAGCATTGAGCTCCCATGCAGCCACGCTGAGACCGCTAACAGCGCCTGATCCAGCCAATCCAATGAAGTGCTCACTTCCTATGTTACTGACAAATAGAGAAGCTCCCACAGCTGCCCAGTTCATCGAACGCCCAGCCAGGAAGTAGCCGCTCACTGTGTTCCTATTGGCTTTCCACATTGCAAGGAAGCCAATCCCTAACACCAGGATGAAGTAGATCGCTACAACGATCATGTCCGCTGCTTCCATGGCCATGTTTAAAACCTTTTATGGCTGTATGACAGAAATACACTAAATGTGCCCAATGGCGAATTTGTGACACGGCTTAGAACACTTCTGTCTACAGTCATCTATATCTTCTTATATACACAGACAGTGTAAGACGTTTATGAAAGAGACATCTGAAACATTTGCATCCGTTTCTAAGGAATTACTTCAAGCACTCTTGACTTTTTGATCCTCG